GGGAAGTTCCCTTTCCAAAAAAAAAGTCTTGCCTAATTCAAACTTGAATTCAGGGTCGGTCCTGAGGAAATAAAAATCATCAATTGTCCTGAACGAGCTAAAAAAATAATCCCTTTATCCTTATTATAAGTTTTTATTTTTAAATAAAAATATATAATAAAAAAAATTTACTCTGTGCGACTGCCAACTTTGCCCCCTGAACGCCCCCACATCCCCTATGCTTGAATTAACTTGAGTATGCCCTCTCGTAAAAAAAAAATATTCTTCAGTACAATTTTGTTTTTGTTTGCATGTAGTAGGACTAACAAATATTTGTCATTATGGCAATTAATATTTCCATCTATTATAAGATCAAAACATAATGGGATGGAACATTGGTAAATACACATTCTTTTATGTTTCTCTTTTTTGTTTCTTCTCATTGTTTCATAGGTCATGGTACTCATATATATATATATATATATATATATATATATATATATATATATATATATATATATATATATATATATATATATATATATATATATATAATATATATATATATATATATATATATATATATATATAGAGGTTAATTTAGAAAAAAATTAAACATTAAATTAAAGTATAATTTTTTTTAATGTATAACTTTTAAAATAAAAAAAGAAAAAACATATTTATTACAATTTAATATTATATATATGATATTTAATACTTTACATATATAAATATATAACTTTAATTTTAAAAATTAAAACAAATAAAAAATTAACAAGTGGATAATATTTATTTTAAAAATACCACAAAATAACAAGTGTTAGAACTTATGAGAGATTAATATGTGGTAAAAAACGTTCATTTATTAAGAAGGATTAAATAATGATTAATATGGACGTTAAATTAAATGAAATTTAAATTGTTATAAGTTAATAGTTGCACTTCTTTATGTTATTCCAATTTCCATGTTTAAATACGTGTATCTCGCTAATGTAAATAAATGTTATGGAGTAAATAAATTTTAAATAGACATTAAGTAACAATAAGAATATGGTAAATAAGAAACTTTTCATGGTCTAATCTCAAATAGGAAATTCTTTATTCTTTAATTGATTAAATTTACATTAGGAAATTACTCATCCTGTATCATGTTTGTTTTTGATTTATTTTCTAAGGACACTTCTTCACCTTTAGTTTTTCATTGCATGTGATTTATATTATTATTATTTGTAATGACTGTGTTTCTGGGCTTGTCATTAATGTTGATATAATAGTTTAGGTTAACCTTTGTAACCCGTTTTGAAATAATAAAAGTGTATTATTTGAGTATTATGTGTTTTGTGCTTAATTGTGTGTCTTAATGTAATTGAGAATAAAAATAAGTGTCATAATAAAATGTTAGATAAAGCTGATATCTATGTATAATGTTGTAGTTGAAACGAGGTTTCCGAATATATAAAGAATGCCGAAATCCGAGTTATAACGAAGAAGTTATGACACGTCGAAGTTTCGCGATGGATCCGACAACGTTGGATGACGTAAATAGTGAAATTTACGTTAAAGCGATATTTGGCCTTAGTGATCTAAACGAATGTCGTAGAGTTCGTTAAATCGAGAGCGTGCATAAAAAGAACGCCCAAATCTGACTTCGTATGAGGAAGTTATGATTTTCTGAAGTTTCGACTTAGCAGTATGCAGCCCGAATACTCGATTCGAGATCGAGTGATTGTTGGTTGAAACAATCTAAATGAGAATCGAAGATCTCGTTGACAGTAGCGCATTGGTGAAAAGACAGACGAAAACGGACGTCGGATGAAGAAGTTATGAATTTATAACGGAGTTTTCTTGTCCCGGCCTACTAAAAATAGTTAATAAAAAATAAAGTCAAAATTAGCCGACGGAGTCTAAACGAAAGTTGTAGAGCATAGTCTCACCTACGCGTGGATATAAAGAACGTCGAAAACGGAGTTCGTATGAAGAAGATATGAATATTCGAAGTTTATTAAATAATTTAAATATAAATTTAATTATTAAATCCGACATTATCCGAAGGGGAGTCACCGGACTTATCCGGGTTACGCCCAACCCTGGTATTATTCCCGAGCCCCGAAGCAAGTCCCGAAGCCCGGAAGATCCCGAGAAGTGTGATTCCTGAGCCGAAGCTCTGCCCACGAGGAGCCCGGTTTTTGTGAAGATCTTCAAGATCTACCGAAGAATACTACTTCTACAAGTCGTAGTGCTGTCCGATCATCTTCTGATCAAGTGAGTGTGTAGTTACCTTCTTCTAACGCATAATTATGAAGTATTTTATACGAAATACGTGTTATGTGTATATTTGGTTGTTATATGCGTGTATTCATTTTCTTCTATCTCATAGATCCGATTTATTCTCTATGAAAAATGTGTTATGTGTGTGTGTCTCATATGTTATGTGGAATATGTATTGATTGAACATGCTATACAGGTTTTAAACTATGTATATAAATATATATTTTTATCTACTAATATGTTGGGTAGAACATGGATAGATAGTTGACGTATGATAAACAGATGAGAGGCCTCGATGTTGTTGTTGTTGACCTAGTCATCTAGCAGAGTATGGATGACGACCACAGACTCTTTCTAGACAGTCTTGTGGAACGCTAGCAGGTTCATAACCTGTAGGTGTTGTGAAGGATGTGTTCACTGGTGTACTCTATCCCCCTCATGGTTTCCTTTAGGATATCTATTGTTGAGGAAACCCCTTAGCAATAATATCTATCCCGATGAAAATCCTAGATTTGGTTCCTTGAGATAGATGTTGTTTTAGGGACATAAAGTGAGGATAACGGGAATGGGTAATCGGGTTATTGTTGGTCGGTGAAATTAAATATAATTATTTATTGTGGGTTGAAAACTCTATATGCTCGTTAGGCTCCCAAGCCCGACCCACTCAGTTTATTTGTATTACAGGAAGTGACGCAAGGGCATAAGATGGATGAATCATCAAGTTGTTTTGTTTACAAGTCTGCATATGTATATATTTGTTGAATGACTTGTAATGTTATCGTTTATGCTTTATGGTCTGTATCGGAACATGACATCCCGAGTTTTGATTATATAATGAAAATGCATCTCTTGATGAAATGCTTTGATAAATATTATCTTATCATATTTTGTTTTTGGAAACAAATTCCGCAACTCTTTTAAATCAAAATGATTTACTCTGAAATTATTTTAAGAAGCATAAATGAAATCGGTCTTTTCTGGCCGAGATTTTGGGGATGTCACACGAGTTGAGTCAACTCGGGATGTTGACTTTGACATTGACCTTGACTTTGACTAAGGTTGACGCATGAAGGGGTCTTGTGTATAGAATGGTATCTAAGGGGTTGTTTATGTATAGGGCATGAGTAGAGCCGGTTGAAGGAGTAGATACGCTCAACTATTTCACCCAACATTTGAGGTGAGTTTTCCTCCAATAGGAATGGGTCGAAGGCACCAATTCCGGCCCGTTTATGTATGTTAGCATATGTCGGACTAAGTTCCAATGCCGGGCTATGCCCGATGTAGGTTTATATGTTTCCGGATTTCGGTACGATGTTGGGGCAAGCCTAAGGAATGTTTGTATGTTTGATGTCTTCGTGATTCCTCCATGTGTCTACTTGTATGTTTTCGGACTTTGGTCCGATGCCGGGGCAAGCCCGAGGAATGTTTATATGCTTCTGGATTTCGTTCCGATGTCGGGCGAGGCCCGAGGAATGTTTATATGTTTATGTTATGTGTTTATGTTTATATGCATTTGGTGATATGCTCATGTATACCGAGCTTTGCTCAATTTCGGGCAGGGCCCAATGCCAGGTTTTGGTCCGATGTCGGGTGGGGCCTGATGGTGGACTTTGATCCGATGTTCGGAGGGACCCGATGTAGTGGGACAGGCCCAAGTTATTTGTTATGTGTTTATGTGATTATGTGTATAGTATCTAGTAGTTTGGGAGACTCACTAAGCTTCGTGCTTATAGTTTTCAGTTTTGGTTTTAGGTACTTCCGCTAGTAGGGGAAAAGCTCGAGATGACTGTATTGCACACACCACAGCGTTTAGCCTGGGATGATTTACTATGATGTTTGGACATGTGATTTTAATACAGTGTTTTTGATATGATGTTTTAAGATACTATCACTTATATTTTTATGAGATAATTTGGTTTACTATAGTTTTATTTATAAATTAAAAAAGAAATTTTTGGACCGTATTTTTGGGATGTTTCATAATATATTATATAATTAATATATTAATTGGAAATAGATAGTTGAGCATAAAGAGAAGTTTGTTGCTATTTCTAAAATTTAGTCTTTACCAAATATACAGTAAAACTGCCAAACTAAAGTAGCCTTAAGGTTGGTTATAAGTTATGTCATCTATCAGGCAAGAAAAAAAAAAGGAAAAAAAGTAATAGGGTCAAAATAGAGAGCAACCCCTTTAGTAAAGACTAATTGGATCATAAGATAGGGAAAATGTCACTATAACACAAAATAGAGAGCAACCCTTTTAGTAAAGACTCATCTTTTTGCAACAAGTTCATGTATTATGAAGTTAAGTTCATGTATTATGAAGTTAATATTGGTTTTTTGTTATGTTTAACTTTGAAAAATGGTGAAATTAAATTTAAGATATTTATTGTTAACTACTATTGATTTGATGTTTTTAAGATATTAGTTGTTTGTGATTTAAGTTAATTGTCTTAAACCTTATGATTTTTTTATTATTAAAAGTAATATGTTTGAACTCTTAAAACCGTTTGAGTTCTAAACAATGGTTAAAAACCACACAAAATAACCGCACCTAATCCATAAGGTTGATAACCGTAACACAAAAAAATAAAATCGCACCAAAAAGATAACTGCACCAAGCAGTTTTGAAAATGGATTAACCGCATTTGCAGTTAGTGGTGAGGTTTTGGCTAATAACTGCAAGTGTTACTTATTTTATTATTTTTTAATTAAGAAAATTAAAATAAATACTCATAAAAGTTAGAACTCATCTAAATCAATTCCCCCATTACTTGACGATCGCCGTCCATCATAGTCGGACCGCAAACCACCATCATCGGATTACCACTGATCTTCGCTTTCCCGAAGAAGAGAAATTGGTGTCGTTGCCTTAACTTTTTCTGTTGACAAGATGTTACCTTCCATGGAAATGATGTCGTCGCCTTGGTTATTTCCGGTGAACATCTCCTTCTCCGTTCTTGTCCTACCCACCCTTGTACTATTTCATTACCGTCGGTGACCGCTTTTGGTGATACATACCATTGAAGCCTAAAATCACCCACAATTGTCATATCAGTAATCGCGACCTCCATCCCTGATGATTGACGTGAATCATAGCCACCCCAACCGTGGCAATCATATTAGAATTCCTGTGAATCAGATCCTTCCTCTGACTTTTTGACACTCTATTCGAAAGTCATTTCAAGAACCTCGTGAATCGGATCCACCACCACCATCGACATATAACTAAAATCTTTTTATTTCTAAAAATATGTTATAGTTTCGGTATTGGATTTGGATTTTCATTGATCGTTTGATTTGGTTTTGGTTCATACATCAGTAGTACGTAGTCGATTCCTATATTGTACTGTTTTTCTATTTCCAACAGGTTTGGTTTTGATTTCATCACATTTGATTTTGATTTCATTAAGTCTAGTTTTGATTGTTATCATATCTAGTTTTAATTTCCATTTGCCTTGGTTTGGTAGCAACTGATATAGGTTGTCGGAGGAGGTTACATGCGGTGGTTGTTGGGCATGAAAGAGATGAGGTTGATTTGATTTTGATTAGTTTTTGTTTTGAGTTAGGTATCATTTGCGTTGGGTTAGTGGTAACTGATGGTGGTTGTTGGAGGTTACCGATGGTGGTTGTCGGAGATGAAAGTGATGAGCTATCATTGGATCTTATTAGTTGTTAAATAGAAGGAAGAAGATGGGTTGTCTCAATGTTACAGTAGAGTAAATGGGTATAACATTTTTAATTTTTTATTTTTAAATACAAACACTTACCTGGCAATAATGTGGCCCTATTGTCTCCATGTAATGGGTGCCGATTAAACATGGTAACCTACAAACCTGTAAATATTGGGATTGATCCTCTATTTAACAGGTAAAATGTAATTTTAATGAATTATTATGCAAAAAAAAACATTAATAACCAAATTGGACAAAACACGATAGTTTATTGTGTTATAATGACATTTTCTCTCTATTAAAGCATCGTACTTTTATATATTCCTATAACACTATCATACTCGGTGACTTTTTTCCCTGTTATTTTTGTGAAATATGTTATTTTTGTGAAGGATTTTGTAACACAAAATTTAAAATTAAAACTAAATTAAAAAGAAAAAAAAATCCCAGGTGTAGTCCGGGTTCATCTCATAGTTAAAACTGAAGGGTAAATTACATCAATCGTCCCTCGTGCAAGTGTCAGAAGGAACGTTCGGTCCTTATTTTCAAAAATTAACTCAAACCATCCCTCATTTGGTTAAATGTTGCAAGTTTCATCCATCTGTACATAAAACGACCATTTTGCTCTTATTTATTTCTTTTTGATTTATTTTTCTGTTTGTTTGTAATTATTAATTATTTATTGATTTATTTATTTAAAAAAACTTTTAAAAAGAAATGAGGCCCTAATCAAATGATCATAACACGTCCCCTCTTTCTTCTTCAACACCTCTTATCCACCATCACCACCCACAGTGGCGACTCCGACGACACCTTCGGCCGACTTCAATACTCATGCGACATCTCCTGCCGACTCAACCAAGCTACCCCTCCCATTTCTCTAATTTCCTTTCTTCTTCTTTGAATTCGATTGGTCATCTCCACCTCTTTCCTTCTCTCTCTCTCTCTCACTCTCTCTCATACACACACAGATTACTCTCTTTCTTTCCTCCCCTCCTCCCCCCTCTCTCTCTCTCTCTCTCTCTCTCTCTCTCTTCACTATCCTCTGTCTAATCTTCG